ACAATACAGCTCTTAAGTGCACTGTGGATCCTGCTAATCTGTTACTGAGACCAGCTGAAAAGTCCGTCCATTAGATGCCTTGGCAGATACCCTTTTGCCCACCAAGACATTCTGCTCCCCAGTAAGCAAACAGGGATGAGCAGAGTCATTAGGCAGATTCCTTGCTGAGAGACACTAGTAATTTTGTCTAAAACCAGAAAAGACATGATCCGAAGTTAGCCCCAGCCAACATGCTTTGATGGTGCATACAGATGATTTTGTGGCTATCGGAGAGAACAAAAGCTGAAGTCAAACACTTTCACTGTAATCCCCCACCCACAACGCACTGAGCTCTGCTTCCAGTGGGGGATATTCCCCACAAACTTATCAGGCAACAAATGGAAAGCAACACAGAGCGTGTGACTAGCTGTGGAAAAGGGACTGCTCAGCAGCTATCTCTGCAGAAACCACACGGCAAACAAAAGGTGAATTCTCAGAGCTGACACGGCAGCAGTCCTTCTTGCTGTGTGCGCTGCAGTTAGAAATGGTGGGGAAGACTTTAATGAGAGGTTTGTGCTTTTGAGTGTAGCCACCTCTCTGTGGGCTTGAGGAAGAGAGGCAGCATGGGCACGCTTCAAAAAGATGCAGTGCACAGACGCACAGAGCATGAGCTCTTCGCGCAGTTTTGGGTATGAGCCAAGGAAGGGCAGGGGACAAACAGAAGCTGAAGCAAAGGCAGGAGGGGGCAGCGGTGGGGAATCGCAGGACCAGACACTCTGGAAGACTTTGACCCCTGAAGTCAGTGGTAGAACGGCTGCTTCCTTGAAGGATGCTGTGTGGCGCCTGAACTAAGCGCAGAGGGTTTCCAAAAGAGTTTAGAAAGGACATAATTTTGATGGGTGCAATGCTTTGGAAATCTAGGCTTTCTCAACTGGAAGGAAAGGGAAGAAATGAAGTCTTTAATTAGCTCCTCTTCTTTCAAAGGCAAGAATATAGAAGCCATAAAACACCAGAAACTATGATCTATTATTGCAAAACACAGCTATGCACATAGTCACTGCTTCACAAAATGTGCAAGCCTCACTATGTGCTAGTGCATAAATTGCATGACAAATAGAGAAACCACAGATTTAACTGTAAGTCTGTCCAGAAGCAGTGCCCTGTTTCACTGAGAAATTATGATGAGGCTTTGTGGCATTTTCCCTGAGACTTTTCAGTTTTAGCTGGAGGGGGAAAAAAGAGGGAGCTCAAGGAGTCACATGGTCTCTTCTTAGAGTATCTATGAATCCAGCAGTGAAGGCAACCATATGGGCTGCAAGTCAAGCGCTCTGCCTGAACTCATCCCCCCAGGACAAAACTATCATCATTCGATTTCCCTGGCCCACTGAAGACTTCATTATGTATTCAAAATAAAAGAGAAGTTCAAGTTCAAACCAGTTCATCCTCTAGAGAATGAATAGTCTTGCCACAGAAGTACTGCTTATCCAGAGGGTAAGGGAGAAACAATTTGAGAGGTGGAAGGAGAGCACATGCATTTGTCTCAAAATTTCTTTTTAAAATTGCTCGAAATTTTTAAGGACAAACAAGTCCCCAGAAGAAGCTGGAGGTGAGTAAAGTAGATGTAGGCCACATGCAGGCATAAGCAAAGGATACAGTCAGACATTTTTGTGGAAATTTGGAAGCCTGAGGTAGGATTTCATAGGCAGCATAAGCCAGTTGGACTGCAGGCTGCTGCTCAGTATGGTGGTCTGACCATGGCCGCTTTCCCACAGATTTTTTCCCACTGGCCCAGTACAATCCTCAGTGCAGGCTCAAGACCACTGAGGGTTAAGAGGTAGGAGGTGACTCTTTGCAGAGCCACATCCCAGTCAGTTCGCCTTAACCCTACAGTAAAATCCCAGTCCTGCTTCTGTTCCTGCCACAGCACCACACCTTTCCCTTTGGCTCTACTTGTGTTGCTGCCCTCTGCTCCAGCTCCACCTTCCTGACACATCCTGCCATCATGATCCACAGTGTTGCCTGTTCAACACACACCAGTTAAGAAAAATAAAAAGACTGCTATTGATTGAAAGCCAAACTCTGTTCTCAGCTGGACAAATCTTAATTCAGCATCACTGCTGTGCCTGTAATAGCGTTGCTCTGGATTAAGAAGCAAACACGGTATTGTAGTTCTCTGGGCTGAGGGCATTGCCTAGCAGTGCGCTGAGGAGTGGTCAGGAACACTGTTGTCATACATCCCATAACCGCAGGAAGCCTGCACAGAATAGCTAACACAGAAATAATCCAGTTGGAGTAACAAGGGCAGGCAGAACAAAGCATAAGCTGCACTGGGTCACACTGAAGGTCTGTCTGTTGTAATGCCTTATCTCCGACAGCTTGCAGAGGGAGCAGGATAACCAGGGAAGCCTAAGCTAATGCATACATCCTCCCACTCTCCATCACTTGAGGACTGAAGGACTTGCTAGGCTAGATTCTCTATCCACATTTTTATGTTTATTAGACCTCATGAGAATCAGGAATCTGTTTCCTGGAATCTTCCTAACTTTTTTTTTTTTTAACTCATATTCTGCTTTTCTTTGACTTTCTCTTAGATGGGAAAAAACAGGCTGGTCTCAACGGGTTTATTTGCACCACCAGAACTCAATTCCCTGCTTTACAGCAGAATAGCTCAATTCCTAATCACCTGTTTTCAACACAAATGCCTCAGTTGCTTAAAAAAAAAACCCTCCTCTGCTCCAGTTCTCTCTCACAATGGAGGAGTGAGGGCCTCAGACTCTGCACAGGTGCGGAGCCCACAAGTGTGAGAGTCTTTGTGCTGGAGGACGGATTGGTGTCCAATAACCAACAGAAACAGAAACCAGCCCTGACTTTACCTGCAACCCGTTTGCTTTGTGTGACTCAGTGCTAAAAATGACAACTGCAACCGAAGGAGATAAATACAAAGGAGGTAAAACCCAAAGCCCTGTCTACCCTGAGCCTTTGAGAGGCAGTTTCCTTAGAGGTCTTGAAACGTCCCACTCAAACCATTCAGCACAAGTCTTCACAGTGGCACAGAGTTACCAACTATTCCCCTGTGGCCGTCTCAGCCATATAAAGTCCTCCTGACTGACTCTCCAGCCTGAGAAACAGAGAAGTGGGTGAGTCAACAGACCATCACAGGAGCGTTGCCTTCCTCCAACCCGGGATGCGTGTGTTCCCGCCCGCACACAATCAGCCCTTTCCAAAAGCAACAGAGCTGAAGACACTACACAAATAAACCCTCCTCATCTAAAGCCTGTGCAGAAAGACAATTGCAGTAAATAGTGACGCACCACAGCGTCCTCAGCCCAGAGATATGAACTCTGGAGTGGAGGTCAGGTGCAATCAGCTGAGTAGGACAGGGCTGAGACAATGTCAGCCTGTAAACGCTGCTCCCGTTCAATTACACTGATTGCACGCGCACACTCAAAAATAAGGTGAATTGATTTGGATTTCCATCGAGGAGAAATACTGAACAGGATCCAAGGACCTCGCAGCCCCTGGGAAATACTGAAGCTGTGAACTCGGCCACGAACAGCTGGTGAGCGTCTTTGGCTCGTGCCAGAGAACGGCCCCACGGCGACAGACCTGCGGGTAGTGCAGGACAGCACTATTCCTCATCACCACATGCTTCCCGTAACTTGCTTCATTAAAGCAGCTCATGTGACAATCCATATTTCTTTTTTTTTTTTGGTTAGGTTTTTCTGCATTTTTCCCCTGTGCTATTAGAACTCAGTTTTTAGGTTAATGTCAAACTACTGTCTGATTTCTTGCCTGAATAAAATCTTTTTCTCCCCTCCAGCTACAGATAGGATGAGGCTGAGGCACTAGGAACTACAGCTCAGCTTATCTGCCTGGAAAGATTCTACCTTCAAAATGATTTTTTTAAAAGGATCCATTTCGGTTTAGTCAGTTCCTAGATTAAAAATTCCTCAATGTTGATGTTAATTCCTGGAAATTAAATAAAATGCCAATAAACAAATAATCATCAAAAGCGGAGCGGAATCACGATAGGCACTCTGCTGCTGAAAGAAGATTACGTTTGCTTTGGGAAGGGACAGAGGAAGAGAGGAAAAAATGTAAGCAAGCCCTTTTGCAAAATTACTGAATCAAACAACAAATCACTTTTCCCAGCAAACAAGCATTGACTCAAACTGTATCATTTTCCCAAATACTTTTTAGATGCTAAGTGCAGGAGCACAGTTCCCTGAGTCTCTGCTGAGGGAACAAGGTATCTCCCTTGCTCAAGTTCACATTAAAGCAGCCTCTTTCTGTGGCTTCTATCCAAGGATTTCTTTCAGATCTTACTCTTTTCTTCCCCTGACAAGGGACACATGAGGCAAATTCTCAAGGAATCCATGCCCTGATGCTATGAACAGACTGCGATGATGCAGAAGAAAACCTACGTTGGCTATTTCAGACAGTCCTTTCATCATGCACCCTCCTACAAGTCAGAGGCATTCAGGGATCTCTCCCATGCTGACCCTCAGACTTCTACTGGCCACCTTAGAGCTTTTCCCTCTCTTGTGGTTGCCCCTTACACAAGTCGCAGCCTGTGTTAAACAGGGGATGGAGTCTCCTATGTCAGCTCTTGCTCAGCAATCCCTCACCCCATAAGGTAGCTACGGGGTCCCCAAGAGACAAGGGGTGAGCAGCTGCAGGAGCAGTAGTTTGTGACCTTGAAGACCCTTCAGAGAAACCTTCAGCAGCTTCACCTTCTGCCCGTTTTAGCCTTCTAAAGCCTAAGTGCTGAAGATCAGGGACTATCCTTAAAGTTTGTAACAGGCACCACATCAAGCACTGCTTTGGGCTGTCCCTGGTGCATGGCCAAGGCACTGCTGCACATGTGGTAATCTCTCTCCCTTCACATATACCATGTTTGAAAATATAACCAATGTTAGCAAAAACAAAGCACTCAGAATTCAGCATCACCACAAGCCACATCATCTGAATCGTCGTCATTCACTTTTTTTCTTGCATTTGTATAGTATTATGCATTATGATCAGAGCAGATTGAAATCTTTAGCCTGAACATTAATTGATTAAAAACGCGTATTCAGCAACAGCAAATCATTTCACGTCTTTCTCTGTTCCACTCAATTGCTCATGTGAAGGCAATGCACCACACAATGAAAAAATTTGTTCTAAACATTTTTAAAGGTACATCTCAGTCTTTTAAATCTGACATAACTCTGCAAGGAGAATTTCCCTTTGACTGATCTTTAGAAAAGCCCAGCTATAGAAAATACTGTGTTCAGTCTAAAATAGAACTTCTCTTCCATTTCTCAAAACTGTGGGTGAAGCAAAAGACCAGTTTATTGCAGAGCTCCTGCTGTATCTGGTACCTCCAGCCTCACCTCTAGTAATGCTTGAAGTACCACATGCAAAACCTCTGTTACAAACCGCACACGTTTCAATGGACGCAGACTGAGGGCCTGGGGATGAAAACACAGCCTGGAGTAGTTCCCATCTGATGGGAAACTGCAGCTACTGCAGAGTTAGGAAAAGCGACATTTCAAATGCTGTCTTGGTGCTCCTGATTCACTTCCCCCTTCAGGGACTCCCATATTAAATCAGCTCACTTTACAAGTCAAAATAAGTTGTTTCTGACTGTCACCAGTGACTATTGCTGTCTGAAAATCAAGCTGTTTTCTCTCTACTTTGTATCCTACCCCCAGATATGAAGACTCCAAACTCTGAATGCAATTGGCAATTCTCTTGACAACGTACAAGGTAAAAGAGAAGCAGCGTGGTGCTCAACTGCTCAATTGGATCTGGAACAATGACAGCAGTTGTAATTTCTATCTACCACTTAAATAACCAGATACTATATGACTCAGGAGACTAAGATATTGTTAGGACCAAGATGCCAGTTTTGTCACAGGTATGTTTCCAGCCAAATTTTTTTAATGTCAGAGGGAGCTAATGGTGGAGGCTGAGAAAAATACAGACATAGGTTAAATTGACCATGCTCTGCCGGCAGGATGCAACTACACACCTTCTGGGAGATGCATTCATGTAGAAAACAGCCACCCTTGGGGAAATTACAGGTATCTCTTTGCTGGGTAGTTAAGGTAGCTTAAATGCCTGAGATTGTATATCCTTACAGTTACAGCACCGCAATGACCTAAGAACCTTATGGTCATTTCTGCATGGGTGAAAGGTGCCCAACTGAAAAACTTCAGGAATGGGGCACTTTGACTCCTAACACTTCAGCCTTCACTCTTCCTCTCTAGGGACCAACTTCCAGGGGCAACTGGATGCACCACTGGCCCTTCACAACATTTGAAATGCAAATATAATTTTATTTACTTCCTGACTTGGCTCAAAACATCTGCAGCTCTATAAATAAAAAGTAGCCACTGCTATTTAGTAACTTCTGCCCCTGCTTCATTCTACCAGGAAACGGAGGCCATGCTTTGATGTGACCATGACACAGCATGGATATTGTGGTGACATCTGAGAACTTCTGGTTGGGGTCCGCAGGCAGTTGGTGCCATTGCCCTTCATCTTGCATCTTGGCTAGCAGGAAGCAGGCTAGCTGGTCAGGAAATGGCTACAGGTGGAAGTTTTTGTCAAACAGAGAAAAAAAATTTTAAATGGACTCTTCTTCAGCACTGACATCCTGGGTGTCTGTTCCAGACGAGCCAGTTGAGTCGGCAGTCTCAACTTTGTCCCTTGAGTACATCACAGAAGAGCAGCTGGTGATGCTGCCATAACCTCTATAATAGAAGAAAAGGTTTTCCAATGTTTGCCTCATGTACCTTGGGCCAGAAGCATACAGTTTAATTTTTCGGAGGAGAACTCTGGCAAAGCCAATGACTTTTCATCTCACTTCTTCCTGAAAATACTCTGGAAAAATGTTGGAAGTGATTAGTTTCGGATAATTTGGTGGGGTTGGGAAAAAAAATCTTCAAAAGGGAAGTGCTGGGAAGGAGAAGATCTCTGCAAATTTTTGAAACTGATTCCATGAAAACTTTAATTCATCATCTTAATCTTCATGGATTCAGCAAAATGGAAGGGAATTCTCCAACATGTGCGTCACAGGAAAAACTCCAAGCACTAGCAGCAGCAGGTTCTGCTTTTGGCAAGGTATGTCAATCCCTTTGCACATGAAATAACTCTCAGGATATTCAAGTAGGATAAATGTTCATCCCACACTGCGGTGACTCAAAATTGGTGGTATTTGGGTTTCTAAGTCAGTTTGTATGCTTTTGAAATCCTACACGTCCTGCTTCCCCCAAACGGCATAAACACCAGTGATTAGTACTTAATTGAACTGTATCATAACATTTTATTCCAGATTATTCATATTTAAAATACCCCCGAGAGTCCTGTCTAATATCCATGCTTGTCTTTTGTGAGTCTAATGATTAGTTATCTATCTTTGTCTTTCTCAGTCTGGAAACAGTGGCAACTAACTGCTCTCCTTTGCATTTTTTAATTACTCTTTTATTATAACCCCTATTTCAAGAGAGATTATCCCCACCCGCTACAAACCTGTAAGCCGAGCGCTGTTGTAAAACGCACAGCACCAGCTGCATTCTCACTGGACCTGGATTTGAAGAAAGGCTGCTTGAGAAGAAGCCCAGATGTTCAGCCAGCATTAGGAGCTGCTTCTGCAGAGAATGATCCTTTCATAGCAGCTCCACAGAGGACCCCCAGACATCTGCACCCAGCACCTCCACACCTACCGAGCCATGTGATAAAGCATCGACCCAGATTGGAAGCACCTGTACCTCTGCACACACAATTCCTCCGACACCTTCAGGCCCTGCTGCAGCAGTGGGTAGTGAGAAGTTCAAGCATCAGGCCCCATCCCTATCACCACAATACAGCAGCCACAGCCCTGCTGGTGTCCAGGCTGCAGCTTCTGCTCCATCTGATACATCACCACATCACATTCCTTTTACGAAAGAGCTGGGGATCCCTGTCTTTCCATTCAGGCATCTATATTTAGCAGCTACGTGGGCTCCCTGGGCTAGCTTGCTTCCCTTCTGTGAGCTATGGCTTTCGAAGTCCATGCTAGAAGCAGCCTCTGCTGCTCCTATGCCAAGGCCACCGCACTGCCAAGCTGCAACGCCCTCTTTGCCCTACTTGCATCTACTCTCCAAGTAAATATTTTCTAGTTGTCCTGTCTCTACAGAGTCCCAGTTACTGTCTCTACATCCCCGGGGGGTTGCCTGCAGGGAGATGAACGGGTTTGTTCCAGCCCAGGGAAGTCAAAGGCCCCAGGCAGTAGTGGTGTGCTCAGCAAAACCCAGCAAAGGGCAGTGCGTGGCTAATCCAGTAGCTGCACCAGCAGCAAATGGTACACAGCAGTGCTATACAATGCAGTCTGACTGTGGAAAGATTCCCTGAATTAGGTCTTAGGATAAAAGAGCTGAGTATGTGATTTCACCTCCCAATTTAAGCATCCATATGCCAAGATTACGACGACTGCCTATTAAGCTGCAACTGGGAATCAGCAGACAAACGTACTTCATCTTATGCCTTGTCCCAATTACTTTAAAACAGGTATTGCTGAGTCAGTGGCTTGGATTACAGAAATCAGAGATCTTTAAGAGAATTTGTCTGGTTTTCAGGTTTGCACAAAGTCCTCTAGAAGCAGGTCAAAGTGGGAATGTTAGTTCTAGTCAGGTTCACGGGTGGAAACAAACTTCCTACAAAAATGTACCCAGTGAAATCATTAATGTTACAGAGGTTATCTTCCCTCCATATATCCCACAGCAAGGATCTCTCCTTGCCATGTTGTGCTTCCAGTGTTCCCCTCAGGGTCTACTTCCCTGCTTCTCACAGATCTCCTTCCCCAAGGTGAAGGCCTTTAGCCCATGGCCATCAGTGCTCCCATTCAGCATGGTATAACTTACAGTTGGCCTCTTCCATTTTATTTGCCGCAGCTTATCGTTTGGGAGCAGGTTCAGTCCAATGGAGCTGACGTGAGTGGGGAAGGTGGCATCCTCAAAAAGCAGTCCTTGGCTCAGACACAAGGCTCGCAGGCGGTCGAAGTCCTGGTTATTAAATTTCTTCAGGTTCTGGAGGCTTCCTGTTGCTCCTGTTGTTTGCCAGGCTGGCTCCAATGTCAGAGCAGAGCCAGGGGCAAACATTGTGCCCCTTTCCTGTGAAGGGGAGACATGGACTGCCATTAGTTTCCCAATCTGAAGTGGTGCCTTAGGATTGTGTGAGAAAGCAAACACCTCCCCAAGAAGGCTGTGGAGCAGCAGCTTGCAAAGCTGAGGGCAGTCACGGTGACAAAACCCTTATTAGCTAGAAATGCCCGGGGAAACAGTAGTCGTCAAATCCCAACTGGTTTATCTTAAACCAGTGCTGTCACTGCTACAAATTCAATTTTGAGTCTTCCCCGAGGACAGAGAGCAAAGCTGTTAGAGAGCCACTGTGTTAGCATTGAGGTACATCTGCAACATAAGTGAGTGTAGGGGATGGAGCAGGATCTGCAGACACAGGGGAGGAGGGAGGTGGTATGAGCTCGGAGGCTACTCAGAAGTACCCAAGACTCTTCTAGCCATGGATCACAGCTGTGCCCAGGGAATCTTTTGTGTTATTTATTTCATTACCATAAGTAAGCACTTGTCAGTTGCTCCCTGTGAGACCTAAAGAATGCAGAGACTTGCCTTCCCTTGGGATCTGCTCCAAAGACCCAGACAGCTTAAGGGGTGGCTTCCTACCATCTTACACAGACACTTCACCAGAGTCCCTAAAGCTACAGTGCTGAAATGGGACCAAGCTGCAACATCTAGACCTGGATCCCACCTGCACTACTTGCTCACATGAGTGTGCACCAAGGTCTGAGGTTTTCAGACTCAGCAGTTCATTTGGAGACTACTATTTAAACAGATATGAATTACAGATTCAAATTTAAGCTGGGCAGTCACTGCGTGGCATCTGTAGCTATTTCCAGTCTGAAGCACGTTCGAACCCTTCTTTGTTGATGTGTCTAAAGGAAAGAGGCAATTCACAAGTGAACATTTCACACACACAGTGAAACCCAAGAACGGACAGACCTGCTAATACCTCTGCTGGCACAGCTAGGGAAGGACGCAGGAGACAAAATCTCCTGTTGTGGACGATGTCTCCTTTACAGTCGTCAAAGAGCACAGCAGGGCTCTTTCCATCAAAGATCTACTTTTGTTCCAAAGGGAGGCAGTGCATCATCCATGCTGGACTGTGCAGTGAGAGGACTTTTGGGACACAAGTAAGAGGAGGGCACAGAAAGGCGGAAAACTTGCATGTTTGGACAGGCACTGACACCAGAGCTTTAAAAAGGCAATTTGTTCTGTCTAACCAGAGTAGGGGCTTTGAGGTGCTGCACTCCTCATAGCCACATGGATGTACAGAGAGATGCACGCGTATGCACCATCTTCTGGGGATCCTCCTTCAGCTAAAAAGCCCTGTTGTGAAGTTCAGAGAAGTAGCAGGAAGGCTGTTCAGCCTGCCTTGCCTCCTTGTTCCTCCAACACCTTTTGTCATGCAAAATTACATGTTGCTGGGTAAAAACGTAACTTGAGATTCACGCCAGCTTTCACCCTTCATTTGAACTTGCCCTCACAAAACCAAAGCTTTAACTGTCCTGAGCTATAATTCCCCTTTTGTCCCTCTCCTTAAGAAATTAGAAGCCCCTGGTGAAGCCCTGCGTTAGGAGAATTTTAAGATCAAGAAGGATCACTGTGATCACCTCCTCTGGCTTCTTGCATGACAGATGTCACTAAGCTTGATCCAGTGATTCCTGTCCCTAGCTCCTGGCTTCCACTTATAAGATGTACCTTCTTATAAATTAGCACTGGAAAATCC